ACCAATCTTGTCTCTAAATATCACCCAGGCCATGCTTCCGCTCCTCGCAAGACCTCCTACTCTCTAGCTCCCTTGTCTCCTCCTCCCATGCTCGTCTCCAAGACTTCTGCAGGGCTGCCCCATCCTCTGGAACTCTCTACCCCAACTTATCAGATTATTGCCTACTCTGCTCAATTTTAGGCGATCTCTGAAAACCTATCTCTTCAGGGAAGCCTCTCTTGCCCTCAGCTAATACCGGAATCTTCTACTCTTCCAACCACTCCATCCCCCACAGTTACTACCTTTTGTACCACTAACCCCTCCCTCCTAGATTGTAAGCTCCAAGGAGCATGGCCCTCAAATCCCTCTTGTATTAAACTGTATTGTTACTGTATTGTCTCCCGCTATAATGTAAAGCGCTGAGCAAACTGTTGGCGCTATATAAATCCTGTATAATAATAATATTTATTTTTATATCACTGGGTGTAGATTGTGAACACTAGTATCTGCACTTCATATTAGCACTTAGGTTGGTTATTTTGTTGAGTTGCATTTTTTGTTGATTTTATTGAGTTGTATTTGTTGCATTACACCTTGCTTCTATACCACTAGGCAGCGCTTTATGTGCGTTGTCTGTATTTAGCAGTTTTTTCACCTGAATAGAAGGGTTAATAATCATATAGTGTGTTATAAATGGCATAGCTATAAAACGAATCAGTGAAAACAGGAAAAATAAATAATTAACCTGGATGTATACGATTCTGCAAATGTACCTTCTTCACCATCTGGTTCTTCCTCTTTACCTATTTCCTCACAGGTCTCTCAGAAAAGATCATGCTGGTACAAAAAAAAAGGTCAAAGAGGTGATGTTCAACAGGACAGTAAACAATGCATAATGGAAGCACAGTCTGTTACGGAAAAATTACATACTCACTCACATGGTTGCAAGTAATTTGGTTGGTGATGGGTCTCACAATGCTCAAAACTCTTATTCACCAAATATGGATTCCTAAGATTTAACACAATGGTGTGACTAAATTTGGCCCAATTTTTGGAGCGGAATCAAACAGCGCACATGTTAATATTTAAAAAGGATGGAGGCTTATGTCAAGGAGCTTCATCAGCCCAAATCGAACTTGAAGTTATTAAATTATCTTTCTATCAGCTTTATGGGGAGGCGTTACAGATTTTGTCCTTAGGGCTAAGTCTCTGCCCCTCTCATATAAAGGAAGTTCAGCTTTAAGTCCTCTTCCCCCGTCCTCTACCATTCGGCATATCATTTTGGGGGGGCGGAGCGGGTACCTAGTTTTGACAGGTACTTGCTCCCATTTCTGCTTGGATCACCTAGGCAATCTGAGCGAAAGTTCTCTCCCCCGCCACAGTCTTCTGCCACACGTCACAGGTCCCAGTAGACTGGGACCATTCACAAAAAGCAGCATTGCTCGCTCATGCATGGTGGGCAGCTGGCTGAGAAACCAAAAGCAGCATAGCTAGCTGCCCGCAGTTAGGATCCCTACACCGGGAACCCGAAGGCTAGTGAAGAACTAGCCTGGGTGAGGACAGCGATGAACCCATAGACAGGTAAGTGTCCTTTTATTAATTAAGTCAGCAGCTACGGGATATGTAATTTTTTTTCCAGAGCGAACAACCACTTTAAGGATCCGCAGCTCTTCTCAAGAAAATTCATTTTATGTATGCTTTATGATAGGAAGACTGTCCCATCCACACCTGAGTAAATGGATATTGGTTCAAAACTAACATTACAATTACAGGAAAGTGGTCCCCTTGATTTGATTGATAACATCAATTTGGAGGCATTGTTGTCCAATATCCCTGAGACCCCTTTGAATAAATCTGGTCAAGCACCTAAAAAGAAATCACAAAAGCTCCCCTCTCCTAGTATTATTATTATTATTATCATACAGGATTTATATAGTACCAACAGTTTGCTCAGTGCTTTACAGTATAAAGGGAGACAATACAGCAACGATACAGTTCAATACTAGAGGGTTAGGAGGGCCCTGCTCCTTGGAGTTTACAATCTAAGAGGGAGGGGCTAGCAGTACAAAAGGTAATAACTGTGGGGGGTGAACCGATAGGAGAAATAGAAGATTCAGTTATCAGCTGAAGGCAGGATAGGCTTCCCTGAAGAGATAGGTTTTCAGAGATCGCCTAAAAGTGGTAAGAGTAGGTGATAGTCAGATAGATTGGGGTAGAGAGTTCCAGAGGATGGGGGAGGCTCTGGAGAAGTCCTGGAGATGAGCATGGGAGGAGGAGACACGGGAACTAGAGAGCAGGAGGTCATGAGAGGAGTGGAGAGGACGGTTTGGGTGATATTTGAAGACAAGATTGGTGATGTAATTTGGGGCAGAGTTATAAATGGCTTTATATGTTATTGTTAATGTTTTATTCGTTGGGCAATGGGAAGACAATGGAGGGATTGGTAGGGAGGGATTGCAGATATGGAAGGGTTAGTAAGGTGGATGAATCTGGCAGCAGCATTCATGAAGACTGAAGAGGGGATAGCCTGCAATGAGGTAGGCCAATGAGGAGGCAGTTACAATAGTCAAGGCAAGAGATAACAAGGGAGTGAATAAGTTGCTTAGTGGTTTCAGAGGTTAAAAACGGGCATATCTTGGAGATGTTGCGGAGTTAAAGTCTACAAGATTTGGATGGTGATTGGATTTGGGACTGAAAGGACAGATGGGAGTCTAGGATTACACCTAGTGCCCTTGCATGAGGGGAGGGACTGATGGTTGTATTATTGATCTTGATGGAGAAGTCAGGGGAAGGGGCAGGGGCTGGAGGGAATAGTATGAGCTCCATTTTGGAAAGATTTAGTTTGAGGAAGTGGAGTGACATCCATGCTGATATGTCACTTAGTAGGTTAGTAATGCGAGAGGAGACTGAAGGGGTGAGATGAGGAGTAGAAAGATAGATTTGTGTGTCATCAGCATAGAGATGGTACTTAAAGCCATGGGAGTTTATCAAGTGACCAAGGGAGGAGGTGTAGATGGAAAAGAGAAGGGGTCCAAGGACAGAACCTTGAGGGACCCCTACAGAAAGAGGAAGTGGAGAGGAGGAGACCGAGTTATAGGTAATGCTGAAGGAGCTCTGCGATAGGTAGGAGGAGAACCATGAGAGAGCAGTCTCGGAGGCCAAGAGAGTGGAGTTTTTTGAGGAGGAGAGGATGGTCAAAAGTATCAAAAGCTGTAGAGAGGTCAAGTAGTAAGAGTATGGAGTAGTAGCCATTGGTTTTAGCAGTTAGTAAATCATTAGTGAGTTTTAGTAGGGCAGTTTCAGTGGAGTGGAGTGGAGTGAGCAAAAGCCAGACTGTAAAGGGTCAAGAAGTATTAATTCTAACGTGGCAGCCTTTTTGAAATACGTTTCAAAAAGGCTGATTTTAAATAAGAGATTGAATCTTTATCTATCCATCACTGTAGCCAACCAAATTATGCAACACAACAGCAAATCTACACTATGACAGTTAGAACATAACTATAAAATGACTGTCAATCCTGCAGCCAAAGGTGGTAATACAGTTATGAATAACAAAGCTTATAAAAAAAATGTGTATGGACATCCTAAGGAATAAACAGTGGTATCATCCCATATCTATACTTATGGTTGAAATGTTTAAAATGGACTTCTATCGTTTGGTTGATGGAGCTTTCCTTCAAGGAATCATTATTCAGACAATACAGGAATTTGTTAGAACCCCATTTCCCAAAGTCCCTGTATTTTACTCATTACCCAAAATACACAAAAACAGAACTAACCCTCCAGGCCGCTCAATAATCTCAGGAAGGGGTAATCTTACTGAGAATGCGAGCAAATGTATCTATTCATTGTTAAAACCCTTTGTCTTTAGTTTCCCATCTTTCATCAGAGATACTATTAATCTTCTACAGATTATTGAATATTCCAGAAAAAGCTTTGTTAGTAAGCTTTGTACAGCTCCATTCCACATGACAGGGGTCTTCGGGTCACCAGACAATATCTACAACAAAAAGGACAGCAGGAATGTGAACATAATAATTTTGTTTTGGACATACTTATAATGTATTCTCCTTCAATTGCTCCCACTTCAGGTGCAGCGTATAGCGACGGGATCACATGTACACTAAAACATGTTTAAAAAAAGCTTTTAATGGAGCAATACAAAAAGTCCTGTCCTGAGCTTTATACCAGACAAAACACGGAGATAATTCTCAGTCTTACACTTGTATAATCAAGTATTACACAAGTCAAGATGTGAGATTTAGAAATATAATTTCCAAGTACTGGCCACACGTCATTTCTGATCCAAGGATAAGCAAATTCATGGCTGACAAGTGTGATATTATGTTTTGAATGGTGCCTTCCCTAAATGATAAATTGGTCCAGAATGAAAATGGGGGGGGGGGGGGGGGGGGGGGCAGATAGAAGAGACCCATGCACTATGCTTGGGACCTTCAAATGTGATGGCTATAAATACTGCACATTTACCTGCACAGAGAAGGTTGCCTTCTTGCCAAAGGCCTAAACATTTTGTAAACGGCAACACTGTGGGAATAATTTACATTAATTTATGCCTATGTGGGAACCATGTAGGGAAGACTCCAAGACCTTGGTGGAAACAAATCTGTGATCATACCCATGCAATGAATATTGGGAACATTTATAGTACACTGGCTAAACATGTAGTAGACAAACGCAAATATTGTGTACCTTTAGTTACATTTTTGACATTGGACAGGATCCATCCTAGCCAAAGAGGGGTGGACTGTTGCAGCGTGAATTGAGATTGATCCATGAATAAAGGTGTCTATACCCCCAGGTTTAAATGAGGCATTGAACTTTGCCCTATTTTTGGACAGCTTTGTATCAGGCAAATCTGAAATATAATTTGTCTGCAATTTGTTTATCCTGATATAGCATAATTAATACCTTTGTGCACATATTTATTTGTTTACATTGGATTGTTTTCTATAATTAATATTGTCTGACTGTGTCCATATCTTTTTCCACTCTGGCCCTAGGTATCAGTATCGACCATTGCACCCAGGTCATTATGTACAACACCCGGCACAGGGGCGGACTGACAACTCATGGGGTCCCCGGGCTATGGGGGATCATGGGGCCCCTGTGTCCTTGCCCAAACTCAAAAAAGCCTATGAAAAAGGTACCAGGGGCATCTCATGGGGCCCCCTACTGACCCCGGGCCCTCAGACAGTGCCCAAGTTTCCAAATGGTCAGTCTGCCCCTGACCCGGCATAATACAGTCTGGGCCTTGGTCTGGCTGTTTTGGGTTCCTCTGTGGATATCTCTGTATGGAGATGTTTGTGTCTTCTCCTCTTAGTTGTTGGGGGATGAGCTGGAATGCATTTGCCGGCGATCCTTTCAGGATCATGTCTCACTCGTCCCCACACATGCAAGGGTTTGTGTAATGCGATGATGTCATTCGTACATGTGCGGTTGGTGTGCGTAATGACGTTAGAGCCATGCCACTTCTGGCGCAACCTTATAATTGGAAGTTAGTGGGGGGATGCCAATGAAGGGAATAGGAACATCCCCTTCAGGACGCCATAGTGCTACAGCAATTTGGACACACACTATATGGATCTATATTTTGATTGGCCCTTATTATCATGTGACATTTATTTGGACATATATAGGTGGGATCTAGGCTGTATACTTTCTTTAGCATTTGATGTGGGACACAGGATGGACTGAGGCTTGCCGGTAAGACCTTATTCCACATTGTTTGGTCATGTGTTCCGGATGTAGTGATTTATTTTAAAACTATGTATGCATTCTTTATATAGAATACTATCTGGCGGCTTTTGTTGGAATCTCTTGCGTTAGGACCTGATGACATGTGTCCCTACAACATGCGTCCTTCTGTCCCTATGGAGACATGGCTCTTTTAGATCATGCTGAAAAGATAGTGGCTCACACAGACTGTTATTAATGATCATTGTGGTGGTACATGTCTCAATGAATTCTTTAAGAGCATTTTAAGTTGCATATGTATGACAATCTGATAATAATGTGTTATATTACAAATATAACTTTGTTGACTTTGTGGCCCTGAAGAAGACAGCGATTGTTCAAAATGCATCGAGTTTCATGTAAACTATTTAATCTAAAAGAATGTTTGTGCAGTTGGTATTTGAGCTTGGATCATATCCACATGGATATGGTCATATATATGTTTTTTAACTTTTATATAAAAACATTTTCAAATTTAAGGTAGCCTCAGACAAAGCAATAGCTAATGTGTTATATTTCTGAGTAATTTTAATGTACAGAAAAGCATACATCATAGAAGCAATTCATTAAAATTCATTACAAAAAGATTTTGTAGAAATAACCTTCACCCTTGCAGTGTGTCCCCCTCCCCACTGCAAGGGTTAACTACTCCTTTGGTCTACTAAGGGATAGTAAATAGGATGATATACTTAACTTATTCCTCGATCTCGAAGACTTCCTCCTCTTTGTGTGACTGAGACCTCTTTCCTTTGCTGCCTGAAAGATTGCAGCTCTCTGACGTCATCCCAAACAATGTCAAAAGCATACCTGCCATTATCTTTACGTCACTCGCCCCTTGTCTGATTCTGCCACTGGAATCTCTGAAATTCCTGAGCAAGTAAAATCTTTGATACAGTAATATTCGTATCTTGAATTGTCAAAGATTATTTTTATTTCATTATTTATTATACCTGTCAGTGTCAGCCAGCTTAACACTTGGTATTACATTATGTTAATGCATCCTCCAATGCTGTCTATGAACAAGAGGATAAAAGCTGCAGAGATGTCTTAGAGAAGTTTTCAAATGAAAGATGCATTACCTTTGCCTGTGCCCAGGAATCTCTGTTTTGTTGGCCCTTTTCTGAAAGGACCCCTGCTGTGTCAAACATCCTCAAGAGACTCAGTTAATTTTTAATGTTTGTGGAGAGCTTAATACATGGCATTTTTCCATGGCTGTTCTGTCTTGTGTATTGCACAGTAGAGCACTTGTGGCACATACACTACTCTTTTTTTTTTTTTTTTTCACGCTTTATTTGAGAGTCTCTAGAGCAGTGTTTTTCAACCTTTTTTGTGCAAAGGCACACTTTTTTCATGAAAAAAATCACGAGGCACAGCACCATTAGAAAATGTTAAAAAATTTTACCTCTGTGCCTATATTGACTATATATAAAGTAATTCTCTTGAATAGGAATCAAACACAAAGAAATTATTTTATAATTACTTTATTATGAAATAATAAAGTATTTTATAATTGGACCCGGGGGCCAGACCAAGAGTAGATGAATGATGTGTATGTGTCATCCATAGTAAGTATAGTAATATTCCCCCATAGTAAGCATAGTAATTAATCCCCCATATAGTAATGCATCCCCCATATAGTAATTCATCCCCCATAGTAATTCATCCCCCATAGTAATTCATCCCCCATAGTAATTAATCCCCCATATAGTAATTCATCCCCCATAGTAATTCATCCCCCATAGTAATTCATCCCCCATATAGTAATTCATCCCCCATAGTAATTCACCCCCCATATAGTAATTCATCCCCCATATAGTAATTCATCCCCCATAGTATTTCATCCCCCATAGTAATTCACCCCCCATATAGTAATTCATCCCCCATATAGTAATTCATCCCCCATATAGTAATTCATCCCCCATAGTAATTCATCCCCCCTATAGTAATTAATCCCCCATATAGTAATTCATCCCCCATAGTAATTCACCCCCCATATAGTAATTCATCCCCCATAGTAATTTATCCCCCTATAGTAATTCATCCCCCATAGTAATTCATCCCCCATAGTAATTCATCCTCCATATAGTAATTCATCCCCCATAGTAATTCATCCCCCATAGTAATTCATCCCCCATATTAATTCATCCCCCATATTAAGTCCCCAAGCCCCCCCTGTGTCAATTCACTTACCTTTGCTCCGCGCGTTCTTCTCGCCGTTCCGGTGTAGCATGAAAATCTGTCTCCTATGAGGATCTGTCCCCCTCTGCGCATGTGCCAGTTTCAGGCATTAGCAGCCAATCGGCGATCTCCGGCACATGTGCAGATACGTCGAGGGGGACAGATCATCCTGACAGTATCACGCTCCGCGGGCCGGATTAAAAGGTCCGCCGGGCCATATATGGCCCGCGGGCCGTAGTTTGCCCATTGCTGTTCTAATGATTGGTCTATTTGTGAGCCGAGGCCACATGTTACGGATGAAATTGCAATTTTTCCCACGGCACACCAGACAATATCTCACGGCACACTAGTGTGCCGCGGCACAGTGGTTGAAAAACGCTGCTCTAGAGAACTGAAAATACCTATTAATATTCATTGCTTGCTCTTCTGCTTATCTCTCTCTGCACCACTGAGCTGGAATGTAGGTGGCACATGAAAGGGTTCTGTACAGAAAGGTGCAGCATGAAGACTAAAACAAAAAACATGTTGCCTATACTGACAAGGGAAAAAGCTTTTCTACAGACAAATTATTTGTCATATACAGTATCTTGAAAAAGTATTCATACCCCTTGAAATGTTCCACATTTTGTCATGTTGCAACCAAAAACGTAAATGTATTTTATTAGTATTTGTGTGCTAGACTAACACAAAGTGGCTCACAATTGTGAAGTGGAAGGAAAATGATAAATGGTTTTCAAAATGTTTTACAAATAAGTATCTGAAAAGTGTGGCGTGCATTTGTATTCATCCCCCTTCACTCTGATACCCTTAACTAAAATCTAGTGGAACCAATTGAATTCAGAAGTCACCTAATTAGTAAATAGAGTCCACCTGTGTGTAATTTAATCTCAGTAGAAATACAGCTGTTCTGTGATGCCCCCAGAGGTTTGTTAGAGAACATTAGTGAACAGACAGCATCATGAAGGCCAAGGAACACACCAGACAGGACAGGGATAAAGTTGTGGAGAAGTTTAAAGCAGGGTTAGGTTATAAAATATATACCTTGCTTTGAACATCTCACGGAGCACTGTTCAATCCATCCTCTGAAAATGGAAAGCGTATGGCACAGCTGCAAACCTACCAAAACATGGCCGTCTACCTAAACTGACAGGCAGATCAAAGAGAGTTTTAATCAGAGAAGCAGTCAAGAGGCCCATGGTAACTCTGGAGGAGCTGCAGAGATCCACAGCTCAGGTGGGAGAATCTGTCCGCAGGACAACTATTAGTCGTGCACTCCACAAATCTGGCCTTTATGCAAGAGTGACAAGAAGAAAGCAATTGCTGAAAGAACACCATAAGAAGTCGCATTTCCATTTTGCAAGAAGCCATGTGGGAGACACAGCAAATATGTGGAAGAAGGTGCTCTGATCAGATGAGACCAAAATTTAACTTTTTGGCCTAAAAGCAAAATGCTATGTGTGCCAGAAAACTAACACTGCACATCACCCTGAACACACCATCCCCACCGTGAAAGATGGTGGTGGCAGCATCATGTTGTTGGGATGCTTTTCTTCAGCAGGGACAGAGAAGCTGGTCAGAATTGATGGAAAGATGGATGCAGCTAGGTACTGGCGAATCTTAGAAGAAAACCTGTTAGAGTCTGCCAAAGACTTGAGACTAGGATGGAGGTTCCAGCAGGACAACGATCCTAAACATACAGCCAGAGCTACAATGGAATGGTTTAGATCAAAGCATATTCATGTGTTAGAATGGCCCAGTCAAAGTCCAAACCTAAATCCAATTGAAAATCTGTGGCAAGACTTGAAAATTGCTGTTCACACTTCACAGACGCTCTCCATGCAATCTGACAGAGCTTGAGCTATTTTGCAAAGAAGAATGGGCCAAAATGTTACTCTCTAGATGTGCAAAGCTGGTAGAGACATCTCCAAAAAGACTTGCAGCTGTAATTGCAGGAAAAGGTGGTTCTACAAACTATTGATTCAGGGGGTTAAATACAAATGTACGCCACACTTTTCAAATATTTATTTGTAAAAAATCTTGAAAACCATTTATCATTTTCCTTCCACTTCACAATTATGTGCCACTTTGTGTTGGTCTATCACATAATATCCCAATCAAATACATTTATGTTTTTGGTTGTAACATGACAAAATGTGGAAAATTTCAAGGGGTATGAGGTGATTTCAAGGGGTATGAATACTTTTTCAAGGCACTATAGATGTCTATTCTGCCCCTTTTGAGGTGTAAATAAAGCACATTCTTTTAGAATATAATATGGAAATAATGGCAATTTATACTGTTCACTAAAAACTTGGAAATATGTTTTAATCTATAAGATAATGTAGAATATCATGATAGTCTAAGTCTTTGGAAGAACCTGTTAGATTTTGAGGGCCTGATTCCAAGCTCCTCTAAGGGCCACACATTTTTCATGTCTTTATTATGGCAGCATAAAATTTCTTTTTTGTTGATCTCCCTATTTCTAGCTTTTTAAGGCATGATGTTCCAGCTTTTTATTGGAGCATTTGTAAAATCTAAGATGACACAATCTACAGAATTTTGACATATCAGCAGAAACTGTTCTACTAAGGGGAAACATGGATATGGGCAGCACAAAGGCTAAAAGGTTAGCACTTCCACCTGGCAGTACTAGGGTTGTTGGTTCGGATCCCAGCCACAGCACCACCTGCCTGGAGCTTGCATGTTCTAATGTGCCTGCAGGGGTTTCCTCCAGGTACTCCAGTTTCCTCCCACACTCCAAAGACATGCTGGTAGGTTAATTGGATCTTGTCTAAACTGGCCCTAGTATGTGCATGTATGAATTTAAGTTAGGGACCCTAGATTGTACACCCCTTGAGGGTGAATGTGAATGTACAATATATATGTAAAGCACTGCATAAATTTACATGGCCATATAAATACCTGAAATAAGTAAATAATAAATAAATATTCTAACAACAATGCAAGGTGGCACTCCTGGTGTTACATCAATGATGGCATCCCACCTTGCAAGCTAATTGCAGTTCCCTTGTAGCTCTTCCACCCAGCTCATATAGAGGTAACACAAGGGAATAAGATGCAGTTTGAGCCTTCTCAACTCCAAAACGATCTTCTGCAAGCACACCTTTTTTAAAAGGCAGCCACAGAAATTACAGTGGGCAGGCAAAAATACCAAAGAGATACTTTATTCACTTCCACCAAAGTTGACTTCAAGAGAGTTTGTCTACAGGTATGGAATGGAAAGGGAGTCTCTAAAATCTGGCAAAATATTTCAGTAATATTTGCTGCAGTCTCCAGGTTTAAACAAAAAAATGAAACTTGCCCTGAAACAACTTGATTCCACTTTGTGATTAAGATACCTCTTGCTCTCAAACCCGCATATTCCACCTCCTGGTCAAGACTTTGAAAATAACAACCAGAGGAAAAAATAAATATATAGCAAGTATTATATTTTATAAGCAATATAATTAGGTACTTCAAGGCCACTGTAACAGACATTTTCAATATGCTTATTGTACAACTCACAGCTGAGATGGAAATCATTAGTGTATATCAGTGGTCAGTAAATGATGGTAAAAGTGGATAAACAAGCACTAAAAAGAAACACTAATAATAGAAAGCAGCTGACATAAAAGGTTAAACCTCCAACCCTCATACAACACAAATTAAAAAATGCAGCACTCTAAAAGAGTGACAGACTCATATATCAGAAAAAATAAATAAATAAAAAATAAAATCAATATAAACGCTCATATAACTCAAAAAGAAAGCATCTAAGTGAACGCACATAAAATAGTTGTAACAGCTTGCGTATTATTATACAGCAGGAAAGTGCACAGTCCAAACAAGGATGATAATAAATGCGCTGTGGAGCGCAACAGTAATAGCGTTGATTGCATATGAGTGTTACGCAAATGGCGTGTAGGTGACAGCAAATGTCCAATATACAGGTAAGTGAAAATCTGTGCTTCCAGTGAATGTGGGCAGTTGCTTTAGAGTTCTGGAGGGCTTACACAGAGCACAGACCTTGATTACCTTCTGAATGTCCCTCTTTTACCTAATATGAAACTTGAGGCTGCCATCCGACGCAGATTTATCCCAGTGAGTACTGTCTGTGTGAGCATTGTTCTGTTAATGGTGCAGCTATTAAGGTGGATTCCTTAAGTGCTTTATATTGGGTACATACACACTTGAAGCAGAGTTTTCCTGGAATCTAGAGAGTAGCAGTGGATGATCAGCTGATGTGCAGACGTATGCCAGATGATCCCCGTGGTTACCCCAGGATGATGATGACCAAGAGTGGTTTATGTTACTCAAAGGCGCTTTAAATTGCGCTATCTGGTTAGTGCAACATATTCTCATTCCCACATTCACTGGAAGCACAGAGTTTCACTAACCTGTATATTGGACATTTGCGGTCAGTAAATGATGGACCGTGGTGCGGAACCAGGCCGAGTGACAGTCCTCTCCGGACCGTGGCTGTGCCACTGTTACAGCTGGGTGTTCTCTCCTGGACCTCCCACCCAGCCACCAATGTCATCCTCACAGTGGGCAGGGGCCTGAGGAGTTGCACATCGGGACTGAGGGGCGGGAGCTTAAAAATGTTATTATGTTAACAAGTATATGATTACCCAGCTTGTTATTATGAAAAGACGTTCACTATCTGCAGATCGGGACAGAGAGTGGGAGTCATTTCACATTAACAAGCCGGGTAATCACCCAATTATTAACATGATAACTTAGGCAGCCCCTCAGTCCCAATCTGCAGCTTCTCCCACCCTCTCCCGCTGTGAGGATGACATCGGTGGTGGACTGGAGACCCAGGAGAAAACACCCCAGGAGGATTAGTGCCTCTGCCCTGCCAAAGGTACTATAGGACTGTGCAGGGGAAGGTTTGCATTAAAAGGGGCACTGTATTATGTTAAGGGGTGCTGTGTTGTGTTAGGGGGTGCTGTATTTTGTTAAGGGATGCTGTCTTGTGTTAAGGGGCTCTGTGTTGTGCTAAGGGGTGCTGTGCTAGGGGCACTGTGTTGTGTTAGGGGACTCTGTGTTGTGCTAAGGGGTGCTGTGCTGTGTTAGGGGCACTGTGTTGTGTTAAAGGGAACTGTGTTATGTTAAGGGGTGCTTTGTTGTGTTAGGGGGTGCTGCATTTTGTAAAAGGAATGCTGTGCTGTGTTAAGGGGCTCTGTGTTGTGTTAGGGAGCTCTGTGTTGTGCTAAGAGATGCTGTGCTGTGTTAGGGACACTGTGTTGTGTTAGGGGGCTCTGTGTTGTACTAAGGGGTGCCGTGCTGTGTTGGGGCACTGTGTTGTGTTAGGGGGCTCTGTGTTGTGCTAAGGGGTACTGTGACGGAAGCGTAGACAGGACAGAACACAGCACATGGAGGATGATAAACACACAAAGCTTTATTGAAATATGCGAGGCACTGAATCAGGGTAAAAAGGTAGTGTCCGGGTACCCAAAAGTGTGGAGAGGGGGGAGGAGTCCAAACAGTTATAATCCGGCCCATGATCGGGTAGCGATTAGAGATGAGCGAATCGAACATGACGAAGTGGAATTCGTTCCGAAGATTTGGAAAAATTCTATTCGCGACGAATCCGAAGATTAGCAAACTTCGGATGCACGAATCGAATTTTCCCAAAAATGGCGGCGACATGTGTGGCGACGGAGAAAATGGACAGAGAAGATGGGGCGGGGATCTCTGGGAAGGCGCGCAGACAAGGCGCGCTGACCCATAATGCATTCATGACATGTGATCGCATTAGCCAATCAGCAGCCAGCCAGCACTGTGTAATGGTGGAGCTATAAATCGCGGCCATCTTAGAATTCTCCATTAGCCTCCGGTCATTCAAGAGAGACAGACCTGTGTGTATTAAGGGACAGAGTTAGGGCCACAGAGACTTTAGGGCCACAGAATCGTTACTCAGGGACACAGAATCGTTACTCAGGGACACAGAATCGTTACTCAGGGACACAGTGTTCAGTGTTGTGCGCATTAAGCCAGACACCAAAGGGCAGCACAGACCTGTTATTACTCGCTCAAGCATAGCTGAACAAAACCAGTCTCTACCACAAATTGGACCCAGACCTGCCCAGGGTCTCGTAACTAGATTGCATGGAGGAGTAGAGTCCGTTATCGGAATTAAATAGACAAAACGCCACACCCAAAAAGAGTGGCCATTTCCAACACTTATTCCAGAAAGAGGAACAACCCGTTTCATATACGGCCCGTAGACGTTTCACGTCTGCCACATTCAGTCGATTTAAGACGCAAGCTCCACTTCCTGTGGTCTCTGACCGTCGATATACCTTTAAGTGTCAGCTTTGAAGCTATATTCCCTCCGGAGCACTGACACTGGTGCCCTTCCGTCAACATGCCTTTAAGTTTCAGTTTTCAACCATATTCCCCACAGAAGCCAAACTCTTGGGTATCCCAGAAGCTGCTCAGCGGGTCAGGGCAATAAAGCTCCCGGTTCGCAGGTTGTTCCGTCTTATGGATGGAAGTACGACGGTATATGATCTTCTTCGCACCCACGGCATTACCTCATAAACTTTCTGCATTGCATCTGCAATCACAACTCTGACTTCCCGGATCGCCACTCAGCCATTGGACTCTTGATAGTCGTCTCCCCACACTGCTGCTGGGGGGACTTTTTAACCTAGGCCTGTGTATGGCCTTCAATTGAAGCTGCTTCCGCTCCGCCACTCTGCCATTGGACTCTTGATAGTCGTCTCCCCACGCTGCTGCTGGGGGGACTTTTTAACCTAGGCCTGTGTATGGCCTTCAATTGAAGCTGCTTCTGCTCCGCCACTCTGCCATTGGACTCTTGATAGTCGTCTCCCCACACTGCTTCTGGGGGGACTTTTTAACATAGGCCTCTGTATGGCCTTCAATTTAAGCTGCTTACGCTTCGCCACTCTGCCATGGGCCCCTGTACCGCCTCCTCTTGCTGCTGCCAGGTCCAGAGTGTGTCATGGGTCCCTGTACGGCCTCCCATTGCTGCTGACTTCATCGCCAGACTCTGCCATGTGCCACTTTCAGGTCTCCTTACACTGTTGGTGGGTTCCATTTTGTGATAGGGTGCTGTATGGCCTTCCATTGCTGCTGCCTCCACCGCCACCCTGCGCCATGTGCCTCTGTCGTCTGCTCACGCTGCTGACTGCTTCCGCTTTTTAACCGAGGCCTGTGTTTGGCTTCCGAATACTGCTGCATCCACCGCCATCCTGCGCCATGTGTCTCTGTCGTCTGCTCACGCTGCTGACGGCTTCCGCTTTTTAACCTAGGCCTGTGTATGGCTTCAGAATAATGCTGCCTACACCGCCACCCTGCGCCATGTGCCTCTGTCGTCTGGTCACGCTGCTGCCAGGTCCATACTGATTCATGGCCCCCTGTACCGGCTCCTCATGAACGTGGTTCAGCGGGTTTGCATCACTTAACGGCAAATCGTTGACAAACGCTGGGACGTTCAGTGTTGTGCGCATTAAGCCAGACACCAAAGGGCAGCACAGACCTGTTATTACTCGCTCAAGCATGGCTGAACAAAACCAGTCTCTACCACAAATTGGACCCAGACCTGCCCAGGGTCTCGTAAGTAGATTGCACGGAGGAGTAGAGTTCGTTATTGGAATTAACTGTGAGGGACTTTTAAACCTAGGCCTGTGTATGGCCTTCAATTGAAGCTGCTTCTGCTCCGCCACTCTGCCATTGGACTCTTGATAGTCGTCTCCCCACGCTGCTGCTGGGGGGACTTTTTAAAGGGCATTTAAATTAAAGGTACAGTGTTCTGCACTAATATAAAGGCTCTCTGAAGCCTAGAAACACCCTTTTTATAAGTTAAATTCGCAGCGAATATATTCGGCTCGAAGCAAATTTATTCGGCGAATTTGGCGAATCAGCCGAACCGAATTTTTGAATAATTCGCTCATCTCTAGTAGCGATGGCCCGAGCACTCAGGGGGGGCAGTCCAGGTAACTACATTAATCCAGACACGCAATAGGCAAGCATTAATCCAAGTGAGCAGTTCCGGCAAGGATAATAGATTCAATGGGGCAGTCCAGGCAGGGAAAGTATGGGTGCATTCAGTGGGGGCAGTCCAGACAGGGCAATACATGGATTCAAGGGGGGCAGTTCAGGCAGGAGAATATGAGCACTCACGGTTTAGGCAGGGGTAACTTTCCAGAGGCACACAGCAGTCAGGAGACAGGGACCCATGCAGCACTCAGCTTTCCAGGGACACAGAGGTCAGCAGGCAGGAACAGCTTTCCAGGGACAAACAGCGGCCAGCGGACAGAAACAGCTTTCCAGGGACAAAGTGGTCAGCAGACAGGGATCGCTTTCCAGGGACGAACAGCGATCAGCGGACACTCCGCAGGGTCTGGGCTGTGGGATCTAGCCTCAGCTCAGACCTCCAAACAGCGGCCAGCGGACAGGAACAGCTTTCCAGGGACAAAGCGGTCAGCAGACAGGGACAGCTTTCCAGGGACAAACAGCGGCCGGCAGACTGGAACAGCTTTCCAGGGACAAAGCGGTCAGCAGACAGGGACCCTCACGGGGCTCAGCTTTCCAGGGACAACCAGCGATCAGCAGACAGGGACCCTCACGGTACTCAGCTTTCCAGAGACAACAGCGGTCAGCAGACAGAAACAGCTTTCCAGGGACAACCAGCGATCAGCAGACAGGGACCCTCATGGTAGTCAGCTTTCCAGGGACAACAGCGGTCAGCAGACAGGAACAGCTTTCTAGGGACAACCAGCGATCAGCAGACAGGGACCCTCATGGTACTCAGCTTTCCAGGGACAGCAGCAGGCTCACGGGGACTCAGAGGGGGTCTTGGCTGTGGAGTCTGACCTCAGCTCAGACCTCACACAGCGCTTCAATCTAGAGCAAGGGACCAACATCAATCAGCTTTCCAGCAGGCCTACAGGGACCCAGCAAGGCCCTGGCTGTGGGGTCTGGCCTCAGCTCAGACCCCACACAGCGCTTCTCTTGAGAGCAGGGGACCAACAACTTGGAGGGACTCGGCAGGGTCTTGGCTGTGGGGTCTGGCCTCAGCTCAGACCTCACACAGCACCCTCTCTCGAGCAGGGGACGAACTCCTGGCTGGGTCCTGCTCCGGTCCTCTTATGCCGGAAGAGAACGCTTCCTGGTTGCCCCAGCAACGGCCTGCCCTGCGTCGGGTTGCCGGGGCAACAAGGCACGCCCCCCTCACTCCGGCCACGCTCAGGGAGCGCAGCCTTTGTCTCCGGTGGGCACCAAGCGCGGGAAGCCCTGGGGGCCACACTGCGCCCGCCGGGACAAGGAGGGGGGCACGCAGAGACACCCCCAGCAGGAGAGGTGCTAATTGCACCACAGGGGGCATTTCCTGCTGTCCTGCACAGCCTTTAATGTAGGCTTGTGCAGGACATAGGAATCTGCAAGGGAAGGGAGGGGGGAGGATCAAAGGGGAGAGAGGGGGAGCCATGCCACCTATGAACTGAGGGGAGGGGGAAGGAAGAAAGGGAGAGCGAGGGGGGAGACCGTGACAGGTACTATGTTGTGTTAAGGGGCACTGTGTTATATTATCTGTTTCCCGTCCACCCTATAGCAGTAATACTGCTACAGGGCGGCACAGGTGCGCAAAATCACCGGATCCCAGCAGATGATTACTCGCCGGAACCTGGTGATCAAGGAGCATTACCGATGGAGGGAGAGAACTGTAAGTAAACAGAGCCATGCAAAGCAGTGTGCTTACAGTGAAGCACTCACACAGCACACAACACACAGTAAAATAGCACACAGTTAACCCTTTGATTTTAACTTTCACATAAACCAATAATTTTACACGTATTAGATTTTTTTTTAGCAAACATATGTAGCAGAATACATTTTGGCCTAAATTTATGGCAAAATTAGATTTTTAAAATTTTTTTACTGGACATGTTTAATAGCAAAAGGTAAAAAAAAAATTTTTTCGCAAAATTGTCGGTCTTTTTTATGTTTATAACGCAAAAAATAAAACCGCACAAGCAATCAAATACCACCGAAAGAAATCTCTATCTGTGGGGAAAAAAGGACGTAAATTTAATTTGGGCGCATCGTTGCATGACCATGCAATTGTCAGTTAAAGTAATGCCGCGCCATAATGCAAAAAAAGGCCTGGTCAGGAAGGGGGGTAAATCCTCTGGATGGCAAGTGGTTAAGGAGCGCTGTGTTGTGCTGTGCTGTGTGTGCTGTGCTGTGCTGTGCTGTGTTAGAGGCACTGTGTTGTGTTAAAGGGAACTGTGTTATGTTAAAGAGTTCTGTGTTATGTTAAGGGGTGATGTGTTATTGTTAGGGGTTGCTGAATTTTGTTAAGGGGCTCTGTGTTGTGTTAAGGAGCTCTGTGTTGTGCTAAGAGGTGCTGTGTTGTGTTAAGGGGTGCTGTGTTGTGTTAAGGGGTGCTGTGTTGTGTTAGGGTCACTGTGTTGTGTTAAGGGGCACTGCAAGGCAAAGGGTATTGTGATGTAAAGGGGACTACAATGTGAAAGGTACTCTTAAGACGATAATGTTCTGGGGGGACCATGATGTTCAATAGTGCTAGAGAGATTTGGACCTCTGCTGGAAAGAAATTTTGCTGACTGTGTGACGATCACGGCATCAGACCCCAGCCCTTCTCACCAAGCTCGTGACCGAAGGACTAGCCAATCTAAAACTGCGCTGTCATGTGCGTAACAATGCCATGCCCAGCTGCACCCTGCATAAAGATTTTCCAGTTAATGGACCACAATCTGTGTACCTGCAGCCTGGGAGCGATTGTTACTGGGTCAGGTTAATTACGCAATTAACCCTTCACATTGCCACCATCTCCTTTTTGTACAGAGAAAGAGGAAACTCGGCAATATCAGCAATAACACTATGATGTTTGAATAATCGTCTGTATACCACTGTCACCGCAGGCAGGGTATATAGAGGTTTAAACACACACAGTAGCGCTCTTCAGAGACAGGGGTTTTTAGTTTGCATTAAAGAGCTTTAGAAACAGTTCAACACTTTCAGAAAGTAAGATTTATTACTAAAAGGTCAAAAGGGTGCAATAAAAATATTTACAGAAAAAGATGTAGCCAATATATATATATAAATATACAGAGAGCAATAACACAGCAAAGAGATAACAGAAAGAAATCTAAAGAGGTAATGTACTTGCCAAACGTCCTGGGTTAAGCAGCTTCCAAGTTTGAGAGCAAAAGGGCCTTATCTCCCAAAGTTATTTCCAATGTTAAAAGGGAGAATTCTTCAACTCAGCTTAGCTCCGCTTAGCTTTCTGCTCCAAGCATAACAGCTTTTCTAGGAACTCAGCAGGGTGTCTCCTTGGAGCACAGAACCAATCGCCTCATTTGGGGAGGGTGTTGCAGGTGGAGACCCAAGCTAGAACCAAAATCCCTCCTAGCTTATATCATGATCCATAACTTACCCCCGGTGCATATAGCTGCCTAGCCACTAGTAGATTAATATGCAGAATGATCTGCTGAATGTCTAGATATTAATTATGACATACCTGCGTGGGATGGTTAAGGAGATATCATTTTCTGCTCTCCTGTAGATTTCAACTAAGGGGTGTAATATATGAGGCGACTTGTATTAAAGTGACCGATCTGAATATATGCTTGGTTTTTATGTACCGTATATACTCGAGTATAAGCCGACCCGAATATAAGCCGAGGTACCTAATTTTACCACAAAAAACTGGGAAAAACTATTGACTCGAGTATAAGCCCCATCATTAGTATCAGTGGGAGGAATAGTGCCCCATCATTGGTGTCAGTGGGAGGAATAGTGCCCCATCATTGGTATCAGTGGGAGGAATAGTGCCCCATCATTGGTGTCAGTGGGAGGAATAGTGCCCCATCATTGGTATCAGTGGGAGGAATAGTGCCCCATCATTGGTGTCAGTGGGAGGAATAGTGCCCCATCATTGGTGTCAGTGGGAGGAATAGTGCCCCATCATTGGTATCACTGGGAGGAATAGTGCCCCATCGTTGGTGTCAGTGGGAGGAATAATGCCCCATCATTAGTATCAGTGGGAGGAATAGTGCCCCATCATTGGTGTCAGTGGGAGGAATAGTGCCCCATCGTTGGTGTCAGTGGGAGGAATAATGCCCCATCATTAGTATCAGTGACACCAATGATGCGGCACTATTCCTCCCACTGACACCAATGACACTTGCTGACCCCTGTTGCAGTATGGTGCTGCTGCAGCCAGCATATGTGGTTGCAGCAGCACCTCTGCACTGCACACTTACCGGCTTTTCCCTCACTCGATTTTCGCGGGTCCGCTCGGCTCCGCCTCCTCGCCCGTGATTGGCCACCTGTGTACCTTTCCTGAGCTACAGTTCTGGCGGCCAATCACCGGTGAGGAGGCGGAGCCGAGCGGCAGGAGTGAGGGAGTGGCCGGAGTGACGGAAGGAGCAGCGCTTCCTGGATGGATCATCGTGGGAGCCAGGTAAGAGACAGCAGCCCTCTGCCCACCCCTGTACACGCCCCCCTTGACGGAGCCTCGCTCCCCCCATCTGCAAACGTTGACTCGAGTATAAGCCGAGGGGGCCATTTTTCAGCACAAAAAATGTGCTGAAAAACTTGGCTTATACTCGAGTATATACGGTAAGTCTTCCATATCTCCAGATATAAAATTATAGGGGAAAGTGGATTTTGAATGTGACGTCTGTTTTACGGCTTATCTAGAATGTCTTTGATGCTCAGTGAAGGACTTGGTTTATGGTTTTACGATATCTCAGATTGAGAAGCTAACAGACACCTGGGCACCAGCTAGTGGGGGATTTATA